CTAAATTGCGAAATAACTAGATCTATCATAAATTCCTTCCTTTTCAGTCCAAGCCCTCACGAATAAACGGAGCACTAACAGGCAACGCAAGTGATTTTAGTAACTAATCCAATTACGCCGCGCCGAGAGGATCACTCAATCGGCGAGTAGCAGCAAACGGAGCAGGCCCAGGGCACCCACCGCTGCCCCTCCCCGCTTTCGTCCGTCTGCCCAGACGGAGCTGGCGGGCATCGGCGAGTCCTCGGAATTAATCAAGCCCGAGGGGCTGGGTTGCGGGCGGGCGGGCGCAGCGCGGGCTCGCGGCGTCCGGCCGAGAAGCGGCGCTTGTTCCGGGGCGTCGAAGTAAATTCATAATCGGATGAGCTGGGGCCTCGGCGCCACTGCCGCGGCCGCGTGCGCCAGTCTCCCCGGCCAGGCGCTCGCTCGATAAGCCGATGGCCAATAATAGATTCATATCTACGCCGAGATTCGGCCCGCTTATCGGCCAGGCTGCACTGCGGCGCCTCCGCCTCCTCCGCAGCACCAGCTCTTTGCGGACTCCACACCGCGCTCGCCGCTTCATCCCACTTACTTTCCCCGCCGCCATTACGCACAGGCCGCAAGCCGGTGTTACGTGGGGATTCGAGCACGTAATGCGCGAGGAGCGACGGTCGACCGCTAACAGTCCCGCCAAGGGGAGCGCACACAAATAGGTGAAACGCTCCAGGCCGAGACGATTAATGAGAAAATAAGGCGATGTTATCGATGGCGATGCATATTAATACTGTATTCAATTATTAGGGAGCGAGGTGTGAGGTCGTGGTTAGCACGGGTTGCTGTATACACAAGTCGCATTCGATGTTGTAGTGGAACGTGATGAACAGCCTTTTAATGGCTTCATTGTTCCCTTACTATCCGCTTTACCGCATACACAAACGATGCAATACTAGAGACTTCCCCCACATGTAAAACTATGTTATGCACCACACGAAGGTGTGATATTCACTATTCATCAATTTTCTGGTAGATATCCACGCAATAAACTCGATTGCGATACTCTGATTCCGCTACCGGCTGTACCTTTATAAGATAATTCTTTCCCGATTTCCCGAAGGAACGAACAACGACCATCAGCATCAATAAGTACTGAAAAGGAGTCTTCCTCTATAAATAACAAAATGGCTGTCACCTCACCCTTTCACGGAAGCACGAAAACGTCCTGCTGACCTACTTGCACTAGAAATGATTGCACACAAAACGACTCCCCAAGCCATTGTACTGCAAGGGCAACAACCCGCCTCCCATCCCCTCCAACAGGGCGCACCGCTATGGGCTGTGGGATCTGGAATACGCGACTCATGATGGGCAGGAGTTGGGTTATTTGTGCCAGAAAACAAACTTTTTCGCGCGACCTCGTCGGCGGTCGGGTCATTTCATTCAATTTCCGTGGCCTCCCCCGCACCTCGTTTGCTCTCCCCAAGCTCCCGCGCCGCAACTCGACGCGGCACTCTTCGCTGCTCAGCGTCATTATCAGAGTGCGCGGTCCGCGCGTTTGAAGCAGGCGTCATGGAACAGGGTTTTACATTTCCCTTCAGCCCTGTAATTGTGTACTGCTCACAGTTTTTTTCTCCTCCCCGGCCATTCCTCCCAGGCGCTGCTCAGCTTTTAGCCCGTTTAGATCTCTGCGGGCTGTGTACTGACACGCTGAGAGATGCGGGAGCGCCATCGCTTTCATCCGCGCGACGGGAGAAGGGAACGTTGTGGTAGACGAGATGCACCTCTGCCGCCCGCCCCTCTCTTCATGGAGCAGCAGACACGTCGGGCGCTTTGGAGAAACACCACATGTGCATTATGTACGTATGTTTCCGGAACAATCCAACCGGCTCAGATACGGCCGATAACATTCACGCCTAGCTGTCTATCGATAGTAGTGCAAGGAAAAATTATGTCAAATATAAACTAGAGAAGATTTTCTTGGCATTCTAAAATTGCCAAGCCAAATAGCAACTTCTTTAAATTTTCGCAGCTTTGCACTTTTGTACTGTAAACTATTTAAAAGTAACTCATGCGACTATGGTGTAATTACACGTCAGAAATGAACTTTTAAATCACAATGGATTCTACAAAGAGTAGGTGAATAAAAATCAATTTTCTTCTACGAGCCGCAAAATATTTATAACAACTATCATTATAATTAAATTCAATGTTTAAAATATAATACGACAAATTCGTAAATAATGGTTCAAAATTTAACAAATATTTCCAAGTTGCAAAGTAAATAATGGGTCCAACACTTAGGACGTTAAAGCATGGACTTCCATTTCGATCCATCAAAACCGAAGAGCAATTATTATTTGGTCCTTCCCTCTCGCGTGATATTCCTAGTGCGCACCGGCAACGGTATCGTCGGCCACCGCCATCGCGGCCTTTCTCAGAGCTCGTTCGCCTGTCTCACCTGCAGCTGCGACCCGGGGAGAGGGTGGGTGGGTGGCCCTTCTGCAGACAGCGTCGTAAAACGGCACGGGCCACTTTGCCGGCCGCCACTAACGGACTGCAAATTGAGTGCTCTGAGGTCGCCGCATGGCGGTGGGAAGCCCCGTGCCGCCCACCCAACCCGCTCGCGTTATGGATCGTAACGCCCGGCCGCGCGTTGGGTCCGCTCGACCCCTGCGTGATGCTGGGCCGCGATACCGCGTGATTTAAGTCGTCGGGTCGGCGCGGGGTCGCGTGGGCGACCTTTGAGCTCACAACGCGTCGTAATTGACCTAAACGCCGGCGGGACAGCTGGCGCGGAAGCAGAGTGGTTGTATCCACGCAAACAACTTATTCAGTTGGTACCAAATTGAAAATATTTGCGGTTTGTAAAATACAATAAACAAATTAATCAAACGGATTGAAGAGTACATTGAGGGTTCCCTTCCCGAACACACGCGAGAATTTTCTGTTCGTGCGGAGAGCTCAAACTCTCCCCTTACGAAACCAAATAATTTAGAAACTGTTGCCAATACATATTAATTATTGAATTTCAGTTATTGAAAGGAGAAGACTACGGTCATTGGAATTCATCATTGGGAAGGAACAAGAGCTGGAAACGATAAATTTACGAACCTACTAAACTGACATCGCCATTACAGCTTGTCGAGCCTTACCACCGAAAGTGTGGGTCGGCCATCCACCCCACACACGCCCTTGAGGGACAACGTAGTTAAAGCCGTCGTCGTCTGCCGAAGTTTAAAAGCACGCACCCGGCACCCGTAAAACGTCCCGTTGAGATCAAACTTTTCTAACTCTTTAAACCTCCATTCCGTTCTATTATTTCAAAGCGGGAGGCGAGGACGGGCCCGTCGCCTAAGCCCAGCGCCGCGGCGCTTCCGAGGCGACAGGCCCGTCCGGCCGTAACGAACTACCCGGGACGTATCCGCGCGCCACGACCAAACTTCGGAAACAGTTGGGAATCTTGTTAGGGGCGGCGCGTGGCCGCCCGGCGCCTGCAGGCGTAACGCCGAGTATACAGACGGGGCGACGGCGACGCCGGGTGCGAGCGGCGTAGAAGCCGAGGCAGAGACGTCGCCCGGCGACGCGGCTGTTATATAAACCGAGTGGCCGTTACGGCAGAACACTGCCCCTTCGAGACGCGCGAGATGGCCAAGCTTACGGTGAGGGCGCGGGGACAGGGAAGCGCGAAAGGCGTGCAAGGCGAGCGCTAGGAAAGGCGAACCGGTGGCGTCACGATGGGGCCGAGCAAGAGGGGCGAAAAGGGCGATGCATGGTGTACCGGATGCGGCAAGGGCAACACGAGGCTTGCGGCAGAGATTCGCGGGATTTCTTCGGCGGCACAGCGAGATGAATAATGCATCGTCCCCGAGGGCGGAGGCGGCGACGGGCCCGCCACGCTGCGAGATCTGCTGCGGTTTAGCGGGTCGAAGCGAGGAGTGTCCGACGAGAGGGGTTTTGGGATACGAGCCCCGTCGAAATGGTTGGATTTCTAGCGTTCCATAGGCGAACAGCCAGATTTATAAATGCGCGTCCAATTGTTCTGCCTTCGGAATGAGGAAAGTCTGTGAAAAGGGCCCATAGGAAGGAAAGCTCACTATTTGAGTAGGTTGTTAGAAACTACGATAACGCTGTGAATACAGCAATGTAAATAAAAGCAGATGTCAGGCAACGTAAATCGCTAGATGTATCTTATGAACACAGATCTTTGCCCACCGCAGTCATTCTTTTCACAATGCAAATTATGATTTTAAATAAGAGTTCCAACCTTTTTGGGCTCTAATTCAACAGTATTCTGCATGTAACATGACTATGTAACAATGTTTTTCGCAAAAATTATCATAAATCGCCAACATAAGCCTCACTTCCTACGCCAACTGTGCTTTCAATACAACCTCCTACACAAACGCAACATTCAGAGTAAACGTAATTAGACGAATGAAAAAAAAAAAAATATTAGGCACAGACCGCACTCAGGCTTATCCTCAATTGCAGAAAGACAATGTTAAGATTTACAGAGAGTAAGAGCACGAACACTCCACATAGACAAGAGTTGTTAGTTGAAAGCCGAACGTACAGCTGAGTATTTTAACGAGTTAACTTGCACCTGATCGCTCCGGTAGTTGCCCGCCGGCTGACCATATCAGCACTGATGGGAGTTTTGTTTGAAACTAACTGGCAATTATTGTGAGTAACTACCATTTATTGAATCTCGCAGATTGAAAATATTTCCACCGGACGTAAACGGACCCGGAAAGGAGATGCAGCTGTGCAGCTCAGACAACAGCCCACCGTCCATTTCAATGCAGACACGCCAGTTCCAAAGATTTATTTGGAGTTTCATTTTTTTAAATAATAAAAAGTACATGTGTATATCAAGCGTCAAGATATTTCTGCCGTTTCTCTATTTGAATGTACTAATAATTTACTTAGGAAATAATTGTCCCTCTCAGTGAAGCAGCTTTAGTTACTCAGAATTTCAAAAAAGTTAACATTAAATATGTTCGCATTTAAACGACCAAGCATACCTGTGAAACGGGAGTTCTAGAAGTAGTCCTTGCGGTACACAGCCACCACCTTTCTCCGTTCGCAGACGACACAAAACTGAGGCCCAGAAGTGGTGGCGAGCAAACAAAGCGCGATAAGGGATCACTGAAATTCAGAGGCCCACGTGGTGTCTCAAGAGCGTGTTCCGACTAAGGGTGAAGGGAGGGGGGAGGGGACCGCTGCCTTTGTTTCGCCAACGGCGTGGCGGCGGTGGCGGCCGCACAGGGCTCTGGGCACCGGTGACTCAGGCCGCCCGAAATAGCGCGTACCTGCCGACGCCATGCGGAGGGACTGGCCCCCCGCCTCCGTTGCCGCTGTCGCCGCTAGAGAGCACCAAATTGCATTTGGGTGCGCGTCCGGCGGAACCTTCTTCCGTGAATGCGCCCGTAACAAGCAGCAGCAGCAGCGGCAGCGTGCCGCACGAGCTCTCAAGATTCTTCCCTGCCCTTCCTCGGCCACTTCGTCTTCCCCACTCTTCGGCCCCGGCCCAGCATCCGCCCGGCGCAACGGTAGGAGGGGTAAAATTCCTTCTCGTCAATGAATAGCCAATTAATACTTGTAATGATACTGCCGCACCTTACCGGCTGGCTCTCTCGTTCTCTTCGCTCGAGTGGGAGCTAACGTAATTATACGGTCCAGCCTTTCATGTCACATTAATTGCGTTACTCCGGTTTCAAAGCGAATTGTAGCAGCAGCGGCGGCGGCGGCGGCGGCGGCGGGGAGCGCCGTGACGGAGGCGCCACTGGTGGCGGGGCGCGGAGTTGAGCAGCGGGCAAGGGAGCAGGAGGATGCTGTGCTACCCCTCGGTGCGAATCACGATTTCCCGCCTCGTTGCTGCCGCGGTGCAAACAACGTGGATTGTCTGGCGCGCTGCGTGAAACTTGGGCGCAGAGTTCCGCTTCGATCGCGGCTTCGCGCCCGCGACGCCGGCAGAGGCAGAGAGGGGGCGGCGCGGCACAGCGCGGCTCCTTGCAACGCTCGCCTCCACCCTCCGCGACCGCCACACGCGCTTCTGCTCTGATGAATTTAGGGCATACATTTCCGCAGAAACAACCAACTATTTCGTTCCATAATTTGTATTTCTGGTAATGTTCAACCACCACACTTCTCTCACATTAATCTGAAGAATTTAAGAATTACAATAATAATGAATAATTCTTTATTGGAATATTTTCGCTACAAATACATAATTTACAAATCTATTGAGAAAAGGACGAATATTACAAAATATGATCAAACAATATGATCTGGAAAACCCTGTTGTTGACGGTTTCGGAGCCACTTTTGTCTTAACGAGGGCTCGGTTTTGAAATAGGAGGAGGAGGAAGAGGATAAGATATTGGTATTGTCGGAATTCAAAACATCTGAGGACGGAAAATACGGTCCTGGGACTGAACTGTTTGTTTACCCGAAAAACTAGCCACAAGGAAACAATTGGTACTTGATTTTCCTGTTGTTTTACACAAAAGTCATTGCTGTTTCTCACAATTATACTGATATTAAGCGTATATAGTCCATTTGTCGTTAGACTTCGGATAAAAGTTTACGCATACACATGTAAAATACGAATTCAAAGTTAATAATATAAACGAAGTAAGGAAATGCGCGTATCACATAAATATTACTTTTATTACTTACGTGGACGAAAAAAACCTTTTTGTAAGCAAAAAATTTTCATTTATAATTTTAATTGCAATAAAATACTACTTGCCCCTAAATGCCAGAATATCATAAATGTTACTGTTTACAAACATTTTCCTTTCTGTACGCAATAGTTATCTATAAACAGGCAAGCTTGACCACTTCCCGGTACAATTCAAAAGCACCCGCTCACCGAAGAGTCATCGTTGTCATTTATTTAGTAACATTTCATAAACGCGCGAACTCAAGCACGAACTACATTGCATGCCTGACTCGCATTCAAGCGCCCCCTCAAAAGAGCTTAGGAACACGCAACGCGACACGCCCTCAGGCACAGTCCTCTGCGATAACATTTTACACCTAGTGCTACAGGGACGTCGGAATGAACTGTTGTATTTATCCGTTTTCCCGTGACGCGACTGTAGTCAGGCCTATCCGTAAATCTTCGAATAAGAGCCACTCACAATACAAAAATAACATCGCAAGGAAACTTTGCATCGAAGGTGGACTATCTTTTGTTTTGAACAGTACACAAAACTAAGAACATGTTTTTCATTCGGCAATTCGAACATTAACTTGCCTATTATACGCTTCTCAAGAGGCAGAAAATCAGAATAAAGGTATGCTGTTAGATAATCGTTGTTTCGTAACTTTGTCACCTCTTCCCTTTTGCAAGACCTTGGAAACAAATCATTAGAGGAATGTACTGAGCATCCCACGCATGTCAGGGGCCGTCGCGTCGACCGTCTTTTATCTTCCCCGCTTCTGCTCGGGCGCAACAGCACATTCGAGGGAATGGGTCGGAGGGGCTCACCGAGGGCCATTACGTCGCGGAAAAAAAAACCGGAACAAATAAACGGCCTCTGCATTCGGCAGAGATTAGTGAGGTCGCCTTAATAAAACTTGACAATCCACAAATAACACGCTGTAGCCCATACGGGCAGTCGTAACTCAGAGGCGTCGCTATCTGGCAAATTGCGTGAGTCCGCTTGCTGCAGTTCGGGGTACGCCGGTGCGATTGTGGGTGACAGAACGACGGCGACGACGAGAGAATAAAGTGTTGAGGAAACCAGCTGCGGGAAGCATTCAAGACGAGCACATGGTCACTTTACAGCAAGAGGGTGCCAAGCAGATGGCATGCGTCAGTCGGCGGTGGCGTAAATGAGACACGATTTTAGGAAGAGAGGAAGCAGCAACAGAACCTGAGAAAGGGTTGGCAGGGGACGAGTGGAGGCACAGGCAAACGTCACGAAAACCAGCGAACCAGATACGTTACTGCATGGGTGTGATGGGTAAAGCGGCGACGGGCAGTCGGGCCAGAGCGTCAACACGCTACGCCTCCTGGCATTCGTGGACTAGCAAGCGTGCCGTATCCTTTCCCGCTCCCGCGTTTTCCAGGCAACTAACAAGATTAATACGCAGGCGCGCGGCGCGGCGAGGTGCAACGAGCGCGCCCGCTCCCTGGTTTTTTCCGCGCCGAGGCGCGTGTCTATCCGTGGACAGCACTGGCAGGGCGCCGCCTGCTCCAGTGGCCAGCGGGGTAAATTGACTTGAAGTCGTCACCCGAAAGTAAACCGAGAGATTGTTTCTTTCACGAGGTGTACAATATGTTCTGCGCAAGTTAGCGCTGGTCAGCATCTCTGGACTATTGCACGTACCGCACATACTTTGTAGCAACCTGTCAAAAGACAGTGTTCATAAACGGACAGGATGTAAAACAAAAACTATAAATATACAAATATGAACGTATTGCAGTACGTTACCTTTCTTGTAAAGCATTTTCAATGTATTGACACGTATGACATCTGATTGAAATTTTATAAAATATGCATGTCATTACAAATTAAATATTAGTTTACACTGATATAACTTCAAAATTCCTAGCGAACATTTCGAGAAGAGGTTCGAATATTAACTCTCGTCGAAATTTTTTTCTCTCCCTTCCGGCTTTTTCCGTAGCAGAATGATTTCCTTCATGCGCCCTCGCGGATCACCCGCCACAGGGGACGCGTGCGATGGAGTGAAGCCCCTAACAAGAGGGAAGGGGCACCTAGCAAGAGGAAAGAGCACAGGGCACTTGCAAGCGCCGCCTGCTGCCCATGCTTCCAAGCGATAAGAGCGACGGACCCTTCAGGCCTTCTTGCCGCTCGCAGTAGAGTAACTCCCATACCCATACTTTTCTGCCACGCAGATCCGAAGCCAAATTCTTTATAGGTTGTTTACTAGCCTGGTAATTTGGAAAATAGATGAACGACCGTAAATTCCCACAAAAAATATGTAATGTAAAAAGGTCTCTCCGAAAAAGCATTAATAATGAAAGTATCTTGACTAGAGCGATTTTATTAAGAAAGGACAGTTTTGACAGAAGTGTTTGCATCATAACTAAAGGTTCAGTGGTCGTTGCGTCTTCCTTCATCCTATTTTACTCTCCTTCCTTCATTAGTTCGTTTGCAGTTGTCTAACGTGTAAATGACTTCGATGATTCCTTTTTGTGATTCTTCGCTCGTCGAAAATAGAGTTCGTCACAAGAAATAATTCAAATTAGGAAGTGTCCTGCTACGTGCTCCTCTGTATTTTTTTCATATTCACATTACATTGAATTTACTTTTGTGTGATAATTATGTTTACTTCAAAACCGATACTATAATGCCGGTCGCGTACTGGCACACGCGTTTCCAGCTCCTGTGCGGTAAAGTGAGGAATTGTGAGCGAGAACGAGAACATTCCGTCGATTTCGTTTTATTAATTATTTTTTTAAAATAATTACACGGTTGTGTACCATGAGAAGCCACGATGACTAAACGGGATATCTGTACAAACATTAACACTTTACGAGGCGGCGTGGCTGAACAGCTGTCGCGGCAGAGGGATAATGCTCTGAATTTCATGTGATGTTCACTTGTTCAGCGAACTGTTATTTTGGCTTATTCTTAGGCGGATTCATTTATAGTTTAATTGCTCAAAAATTAAAGAAAACAAAAATTATTAATGAAGGTGTATTTTGATATACCTACATATTACAGTATATTTTGATGGAAAGTATAAAGATTTAGTTCACAAGCTAATGAAATAGTAACTCGTGTATATTGGTATATAACAAAAGAAATGCGTAGTGTAACTAATTTTTTTCAGAAATACTTCCGGATTTCGTTTGTCAGAAACAAATTTGCCTATGAATATTCTACATTTAATACAGAGTTCTTCTTCTATTTGAACCAATCTGCATCTATTTTAACATTGATGACCGTTCAAAACACCGTTTTTCACGTCTGAAAACGACGAGTGAAAATACTTGTTGCCGGCGCAAACCGATCGGAAAAAGCTTCGCTTGACCGCGCAGTGCGTGGGAGCACGCGTGCGGCAGCGCCCAGGTGACGTCACCAGCGCACGTACGTCAGGGGCGCGCGAGCGAGCAATCAATGGACGCGCGGGAGACGGGAGGCGCGCGCGCGCGTTGCCATGGCGACGAATCATATCTGGCGTTGCCCCGGGTTACAGCCAACTGGGCCGGAACGGCGAGGGCGCGAGAGGCTGAGAGCGGGAGCAGGGGACTGGGTGGAGGCGGGGACGGCGAGCAGGTGGTTGAGGGCGCGGGCGGGTGCGTCCACGACGAGCGATTGCGCGACAGCGCGAGCGGATTGCGCGCAGCTGCACGCATGACGTCATCGTCCCCGGCCGCTGTCGCTCGCGGGTACACACTGCACTTCAAAATTGACGAAGAAGACACGGATGGTATAATAAAACAGGTCGCCTAGAATAATGCTGCCAAACTTAGTTGAAGGATATCATTTTACACTAAACCTGCGGTATCTTCTTGTCCGCTCAAGATCGAATTTGGAATAAATTTACATCGAATAATTGATTAAAATCCCAACGAAAATGAAAAGTAGACACGCAGCAAATGTAATAATTTTCAAGTGGCAGTACGGCTGTAAAATTGTGCATATGGATAAAAAGCGCTTCCCTGAAATTGCTTCTCAGCTGAAAATTTTATAATCTGGTACAGGAATGTTTTATTGCATTATATAATAAAATAATATTTATCAGCGATGCTCAGGAGAACAATTCCACCTATTTATATCTGGATTACGAGAGATGCAGCACGGAAACTAAGTCGCATGAGCGCACGCGATAGAAGACCCTACCTGCACGACCTCCCAGAATGGAGCACATAAATAGCGCAGAGCGGGCCTCGTATAATAATAACGGGCATGATTATCCAGCGGATGCGGCCCGTCGGCAACCGCACATGGATCCAGACAAACGCTCCTGTAATGGTAATACAACGACAGGTTTACCCCTCAGCGCAGTCCGTGGAATACTGAGCAGCTGCCAAGGGCGGCAATGACGTAAATCCCTGCCACGCTAAGCCCCTTTCCGTGTCATAGTGTGTCGATGCATTATCGCGCCGTCTAAGCTGAACGAGGCTGCCGTTTATTACTGCTTTTGTCGTTTTATCCCTTTACCTACAGTACGAAGCGAACGGCCATTTCATACAATTTACATCAGAATTTGGATTAAAACATCTTTGACCTACATACCGCAGAAAACACAAAAAGTTCACACGTTCATGAAATAAAACTTTTAGGGCGCATTGTCTCATTAAATCGGCGGAAAGCAAACAAAGCGGAACTATTCCAGCGATCGCCCCGGATTGAAATATCATCGCGCTTTCGTTTTCGAGCCAGCCGTTACCAAAAGCGTTGGTGGCGCGTCGCGGCGGCAAATCTGTTTGGCGCGCACGGCCTCTGCGGGACAGCGCTTTACGTCCAGGCCGACGCCCCGACCCCTTCATGCGCCGCGGGGGCGGCAAAGGGGCTGGGCGCGGAGGAAGAGGGGGCAGGCGACTAATCCGCCACAGGCGAAAGCGCCGCGGCGCCGCCACGCGCACCACCGCCGCCGGCTGCCTCGCGCCGATAAAGACTCGACGCCACCGTAGCGTGTAACGCGCGCGCCCGGCGGTTCAGCGTCTGCCGCTCCGCCCTTTCCCGTCAGCCGCTCGACAACTCTCGCGTTCGCCCACCCGCTGCCTGCCAGACGCGCGCGGTCGCACGCCCAGGTACCTCGCGCCTCCACCGCCCCGCTCTGCGTCACACCACGCACGCGTGCACATGCGCCGAAGCGGGCACGCGCTGCCGTACCGCCGAGCTTTGTGCCCCGATACACTTTGCCCGCGCGCGCGCGCGCCCACCCGCTCGTCGTTTGCTCGCTCGCGTGGAGGGCGTAGTCGACGCGCGTTTATCGACGGCGGCCTCGACTCAGAAAGCGCACGCGCGCGGGAAGCGGCAGCGGGTGCTAGGGCGTGGTCTGGGGCGAACAGCGAGGTCGGAGGGTTTTGAAAAACGGCAGTGGCAGACACGTGGAGTGTGAGCGAGGATGACCCAGCATGAGTATAAAAAAGGCAGGAAGAAGAGTGGAGAAGACAAATTCGGAGGAAATAACGGCCCATGCAGAAAGAAGGGGGACCGAATGAAGCAAAATACGTGCGATTCATGGAATGAGAAGTACAGACGGAGGACGAAGCAAAGAGGAGATGCGAGACGGAAAGTCAGAATCCCGAGCACGCAAAGCCGTCGCGCGGAGATAAAACGCACGCACACAACCGTCAGCCACAGCAACCGCTATGCCGCGGATTACCGTCCCGGTAAAGATGGGAGTAATTTGGTAGGTCAAAGGTTTTTTGAGGAAATTCTGAACACAAAATTATTCTGAATTTCAGAACGTTGTTTAATGTATTTAAAGAACCGATCGTTATTTTAAACTCCTAACTTCTATCGTGCTGACGCATTTGCGACAATATGCAATCTGTGTTCTAACAATGCAAGAACCCCCCCCCCTTATACCGAAGAGTAAACTGAGCTCGATATCTGCGATGTATATCGAGGGCTGCTAGCACCATTTTGCCGAACAATTCTGTTGAATTAATCAGAATACTTAAAAAATAATACAAAATGTTAATGAAGCAAATAATACAGTTAAATCGAATTATCAGTAAAAAAGAACTGAACGTCGACCTCCGAAATCAAGAAGCGCATCTCTTGGAGCTCCACCAATCCGAGTTCAAGCGTATCTGCCGATCTCACTGCCCCCTCCCCATCACTCGCATATCGGATTCCATTTTAATTCGCCCGCGCGTCTTAGGTGTCCCAGCGCAGCAATCAAGATTTCTATTCGACACCGCGTTTAATTTAAAGAGACGGGGCGCGACGCGCGGCCTCGACGAGACGGCAGCGAGCGTCTCGGCGGAAACGTCGGTGGAAGGGGCGGGGGCGCGGCTCGCTAATGAAATGACGTTTCCGACGAGCCAGGGGAGGCGCGGACGCGTTTTGAACTCGTATTGCGATCAATTGATGCGCTGAAAACTCTCATTCAAGGCGAAATTGAATCTCGCGCCGAAATCACGAGCGGCACTCATCGCGAGTGTGTGCGACGTTTGGCGCGAAATCCTGATGGAGTACGGGAGGGTCAGATCGCGAATGAAATTACAATCAGTGAACACGTAGGAGTGTATCCTCCGACTGTCGCGTCGAGGATGGTATAAACGCCGCTGACGAAGGAGTTTCGTCCTCCCCGGTTTATTTACCGAATACAAATCCACTAGGATGGATTGTGTTTCGAACAAACTTTCTCACGAGAGGACGCCAATTTGCGGGAGTTTTAATTTACGGATTTAATTACAAACCCTCAGTTAAGATAATAATAAATTTTAGATAAATCCTTTGAACAGAACAGTCTGTGCGTGTGAGCGGATAAAGCTACTCTTAATGGGCATGGCAAAACAGCGTGCCAACCCGTCTAAAAAACGCGAAACACAAAAACCTAGGCCGAGCGCGGTAGAACGTTTCGTGTCCCGTAGCTCTGACAGTAGCAGCAGAAAGAACAAAAACGGGCTGCAATACACGAGCTGGGTGTAAATTTTTAATCGCGGGTGGACCCGGCGGCAGGAGAAGCCACGGAATTTCTGGCCGCGCGTAGGGCTCCCGACGCGTCGGGGCGCCCGGCGCGAGCGCTTGATCAAGATTCATGGGCGCCGTGGCGCACGAGCACCACCCTCCGGACGTTTTTCAATCAGTCCCGGTGGGGGAGGGAAGCGGGCGAACAGAGCAGGTGGGAAGAGCGCGGGCGGGCGGGTAGGCAGAGGCCGGGTGAGGTCAGGTAAAAATCGAACGCGGCCCGTCAGCTCGAGAGCCCGTCGGACCGCAGCTTCCCTCTCCCTCCGGCGCTGGCCTATAGCGTTGATGGCGGCAGCGGGTGCCGCGTCAGCGCAACCTGACGCTGGAGAGCGAAACCGCTCGAGAGGGGCACAAGGACGCAACGCTGCAGAGGGGCGCCGGCCGCTGACGCCAAACGCAGCCAGCTCCCCCCCCGCAAAGCACGAGGACCTCATTAATACCCGAAGTTGCTTAATTAACACGCGGGTCGCCTGTGTCATCTCATGCACGTGTGCTTAAGAAAAGGAACACGCACTGCAAAAACTTTGATAACAAAAATACTATAAGCTCACAATATACCCATTTTTTAAAAACTGTTCTACAGCCAACCTTCAGAAGTGGCAGTTTTGTATCTTTTGTGCTATCTATCAATACTTGGGCAGCTCAAACAGCAAGTAACTAAATTTATTACCCATACACTAGTTTTATTACTCTTTGTATTCACTGTCGTATTGCCCTTTATCATATTACTTTCTCTGAAGGAAACATTTATGGGTTATTACTAGTTATAAGCAAAAAAACAAAAGCAAACAATGCGTTTACAAACTTGAAACGAATTTGCGACAGTCAAGCGATTTTTAGTCTGATATACCGACACATTTTACTTTAAAGAGTCATGGACAATTTTTTTACCGATCATTTTACTGTTAAATGAAATGTAAGAAAATTCTTTGCACCCTCTGGATCAATGTAAGTTTACAATTTTAACAAACGCTACCATTACAGCAGTACGATAACAAACTGGTGATTACGAGGGCAAAAAGTAAAGTAACAAATCCACAGCCATCACATTATTTTCCGCCATCCCAACCTGTGCCTTGCACACAATGCGTTCATACACTCACCTATCCACAGGGGTACAGGTACACACACCAACATGCAAGGGACGCCTACCTGTGGGACAGAGGAAGCAGTTTCATTAATTCCATGTTTAATTAACAGTAAAATACAGGCGACCACAAAATCAATAATGAAAGTAGCCAGAGCGCGTTTTAACATTACACTTCATGATCTATGCGACGACCCCGACATCTTTTTAATTTTTAATGGGAATCCGAAAGAGGCCGCAATTACAATATCAAAGAGCGTGGGTGATAGCAACACGGAGTGGCGCCATCGACGCCCCATGTTGCGTCTCGCGGGCAGCAGCGACCCCAGCGCGACCCTGCTGGGAGTTAGTCTACAGAAGAGACCAAACATTTACATCAATGTGCTGCTACAGAGAAAAATGCGAGCGCTCTGATTTGATGCGACACATGCCAGCCCTAATATAAGCAATGCTTGTCGCGTGATTATCTAAAACGGGTTAATATAAAATTTTGATTTGGCACTTCATTGGAATTCACGAGGAACTCCATCAATGTGACCGAAATGGGTTGAGTTTACACAGACACACAATGCTGTATAACGCAGCTGTGTAATGTACGTTCAAGAATATTGACAATATGAGATTTGAAATAAAATATTAAATATTTGGGAATGAACAAGAAAACTTTATCACCATGATTGCGTGGGAGTAATACCGCTAGGCATTTTTAATCACATTCCTTTGTAACATTAAAACTTTTATCGGTAATATGATGCGACTTAGAAATTGAAGTGCTTTCAGAGTTGCTCTTTCTCAATTTCCTATTTCGTTAACTGAATATATAGTAAATATACGCATGCATTCTGAATATTGTATCACTATTATTCGTACTTTCAAAACCATGCAGTCGCTCAATAAAAAGCCGATAACGAAAAAGATCAGCACCTCATTGTCATTTTCAATTACAGCCTGCTCGAACAGCTGACGAACTTCGCTCACTCGGAACTCACCTGCCCTAAATTGAAGCATCATCTCCACCATGGCGTGCTCTTGTCGAATCGTTAAATCATCAATTTTTATGAACTCTCGAGAGATATAATTGGCATGTTCGAAGAACGGGATACGCTGTGTCTACAAAGAGAACTCTCATTCGCAAGCTAATGTATTACTTCATTTAATTCTCTGCAATATTCTCTCATCCGAGATGCAGCTAGCATTAGAAGCTCGTTCAACCTACTCTTTAATATTTTTCGCGTGGTTTGCGGAGAGAATGAGAAAGCGTCCGTCGTCCGGTCACAGAACATTAACAAAAAATTGGATAAGAGAGCCAAATCAAAACTTCTGATAAAACCCAGTTAATGTCAGCGACTAGTAACACATATTACAGAGATCAGAGGGTTTTGAGAACTAAGGAAAGACATTCAATCCCCGCATTTGAACGCATGAATCTCCGATATGAAAATTTCACACGTTCTCTCTTTTATATCAACATTGTGTTACAAATTTCATTTAAATCAGATTCCCAAATCTCCACTAGATACTACATCACATACTTTTTGTGTTTTAATACTGCAATTTTTGAAAATTCAAAAAATGTAAAGAATACAGACCCGTGCCATTTGGAATACTTCGAATACTAAGGTGGGAGGGAAAAGAAAGAGAAAAAAGTTTTCGAGAAAATCTTTACTGTGAAACTACTTCATTTCACAAAAATGTCTAACATTTTCAGGAAACTGCATCTGACTCCTTTTAAGGAAGAGAGAAGAGGAAAATCTTTAGAAAAAAATCACCCTTAATATTGTATTTGTAGGACGCCTTCGAAAATTTTTCGAAACTTCAGTGTCCAATGAAAATATTATTTATACATACGAAAGAGAGAGATGTCATTTTTAAGGGGGGAAAAATGACATTGTCATCGAAGCTACATATACTTGTAACGTGGCCCTAAAAACCACAATATCAGTTTCAAATTGTCAGGGCCGCGACATCAGCCAGATCGATAGGTGAATCAATTTTGGTGAAAATCCTGCGTAAGGTTTAGCCGCTGTCATTGTTGAGAGACGGACGTTTTGCCGCAAATCAATTTGTCACTATCAAAAACCCAAAAAGCGTGCATTCTGGCTACACACCATATTAGAAGCAGCTACATACTCTAGGAACAAGAATCGTACACATTTTCTACATCACAAATCGTCAATGCCAATTTTTTTGCCGAAAAATAGCTATTATCAACTTCGCCATACTTTCTCAATACCGTGTAAGTAGTAGCTGGAAAGTGAAGGAGATTGTCAGCTTGTTAAGTAGTCCTTCAAGAACCGTGCAAAATGGAAACAACGAATACACATCTCAGAAAACGCGACCTTATGCTTATATGACTAAAGCAATTTTATTAATGAGTATTTGGGAGATTCAGTTACAGGAAGCCGTAGCATCTGCTTGTTTCAAAGAGAAAGAAAGAGAGAAGAGGGAGAAGAGAGAGCGAGCGAGAAAACGAACAGGGAGAAGAGAGAGCGAGCGAGCGAGAAAAAGAAGAGGGAGAAGAGAAAGCGAGCGAGAAAAAGTAGATAAAGAGAAGAAAAAGGAAGAAAGACTAAAACCTTCTTTCAGCATATCTCGAAAATACTTGAATTATTTGATTGAATCATTCAATTCGAAAAAGCGGGACGAATTCATAATGAAATATTTTTAAAAAGTTGAGTTTTCCAAAACATTTATAAACTTTTGCACAACTTGCTTCATAGATCATTTGTCTGCCCCATATTTTTGAACTTTTCACACAACCCACGGATGAAATTCTACTTCTTTCCAAACAACAACCTCCTCTCAAACGAACCGACTGATTCAGACCCCCCTTCTTGAGAACAAGAACAAGTTGTCTGCAGCAACATCTACTAAAAGCTCCGCCGAGGGGTGGGGGTGACGGTGCCGGAAGGAAGAAGCCACCGCGTCGCCACCTCCCTCGGGCGGGCGCGACCGAGGTGTTTTCAATCCGCCTTGCGCCCGTTGTCAGTGCGCGGTGGGTGGAAAGGCCGGAGCAGGGGGGCGGGGCCTGCACCCCGGAGCGTCACCGCCGCTTTTCATCGCAAGAAAAAGCAAGAGGGCGCGACAGGCGGCGGGGACGCGCGCGTGCGTCAAGAAACTCCGGGGGCGGCGACGCGTCGTCGTCCTCGCGACTCGACGCCGCTCTATTCACGGAGACTCCGTCGAGGGAGGCGCCGGCGTCCTTTTAATCCTATTACAGGGGTGCCAACAAACAGACGCAAAGCGAGACAGAGGATGGTCGGGTAGCATCGGCACTAGCGCCGCCGCCGACCGCTCCTGCTGCTGCTGCTGCTGCTGCGGCGTAGTGTGGCGTGAGAACCGGCCACGTCCCTCGCCTGCCGACTGCACTATCAGAGATAAGCCGCGCCAGCTCGCGCGGCACACCGCGATACCGTCCCTGGCTCCGACAAGAGCAGCCGACGCGGCGGAGCGTGACTGCGGCGAGTGCGGCACGGCGGCGACGGAGAAGCTGTAACAACGTAGTAAAGTCTACGAAAGGCCGAAGGACACAAACTTGGGCACGTGAAATAAGTAGGAATACACTCGTCAGCTGCGCGACGGGAATGACACGCGCAATGAAAACTTTCGTGAGCGAAATCAGAATTTTAAAATTAACGATTTTACGATTAAGCCATCGGGCTAACTACGACGATTACATACAAATGAAGGTGTTTGTTGGAGCGATGTTAAGGAATGGCATCGCATGGGGTGTTAGAACGACAACTTTTAAGCATTAGTTGTAGCCGGGATCAACTCGCGCACCTCCCTGCATTTATAGTGTTAGGTGTTAAAAAGACAGTAATTAGTTTATAGTTTGATCACCACCACTTTTAGAGAGACGAAGGAGAGAGTCGGGGATACTTTTGCCGGTGACCACATTCGCCAGATGGAGAGGATGGCAATCGACCTTGTGCTATCGATTCGAAAGACGAACCTCACGCGAAACGACTCAGGGCGATAAATCCCGGGCTCACTCGTAGGAGGTCGTTTCTCCTGCGACATATCTCCGAGACAGAGGGGTAGGCGGCGCGGAGGAAACTGCAGCAGTGGCTCCAGGAAGAGGGAAGGGAGAGCGGCGAGACGCCGAAATATTTATAGGTTCCCACCACGAGGCGCGTGCGCAACACTTGTAAGAAACGCTGTAATGAGAATGAAACGATCATAAAACAGTCGGCCGTCCTACTAAACCTGTGACTTCTCAGCTATTCAACAACAGTCGCTATTATCGAAGCAGCACATGAATCTGTTAGTTTTTAGGTTGCCGCCAGTTCATCACGCCGGTCCCTAGCCCAAAGCGAGAAGACAGATTGGTGACACACGACATTGTGGCTTCGCCTGCTAACGACAGTCTGAAAGGTTGCATGAAGAAATGCATGTATGAGTATGTATGTGTGTATGTATGTATGTATGTATGTATGTATGTATGTATGTATGTATGTATGTATGCAAGTATGTATGCATGCATGCATGCACGCACGTATGCATGCAGGAAACTGTCATCTTGTAGAAAATAGGTAAGTTCTATATAGGATTTTATCTTCACTTTATGTAATATCTATTTTTCGGGAATATTACCAGTATTGTGGTGGTTGGAATAAATTTCCTTTCGAAATTTGACGGGAATTCCTACCAAAAGAAGAAGAAGAAGAAGAAGAAGAAGAAGAAGAAGAAGAAGAAGAAGAAGAAGAAGAAGAAAAAAAAGATTTGCATAGCTTGAAAGAAAATGTTAAGAGATAATTTGCGATATTATAGTCCACAACAATAAACCCACATTTTTTGGAGTTACTTAGCATCAAATTCTCACAGCACGATGGACTTCATTATTACAAAAAATATTTTCAGAAATGCTGACAGTAATAGCAGAACAAGTTTTGTGTCAAAATAATGCAATAGCAGGTAGGCCCAATTAATATTGTCCGAATTTCAAAAGGTTCAAATGTGATAGAAGTTTTAAGACGGTAGATTTCATTTTGCCAGGTAGTAAGTTTTAACATTCATAAACTACTCACATACTACAGCTTCTACTATTTAGGTGTGAATTAAC